TTGACTTAATTTTTTTTCAGATATTTAAAAAATGATCATTGGCTTCCATACCAGTTACAAGAAACATTTATGTCAGTATAGGGGTTGTGGATATTATTAAGCTTTTTATTGAGATCATGAACCTATTAATGTTAGACCAGCGTTGGAAACTTAGAAGCACTGAACGGCCATTTCGTCCTATTGTGGGACTCCTCAGCAATGCCAATCCACGATCCCGATTCGAATCTAGGGCCTTCAGTTCCGCGCACGAACTCTCAACCTACTGGACCACTGAGCCGGCATTCAGTGATGTTAATGTCTACCCTCAAACAACCCACGAAAATACGAGACCGTCTTCCATTGTACTGAGGTAGATACCTGTCTCTACTCGACACGGATTAGCTCCACTGGTCACGGCTTCTCACTAAAACTCCGAGAACCCCGTCACGAAGCTAGCTATTGGGTTCGAAGCTCGCGAGTGGGATCGTCGTTGTGCACTGCTAAGGAGTCCCACAATAAGACGAAACGGCCTTTCAGTTCTTCCAGGTTTTCAATGGTGGTCTAACATCAATCGGTTCATGATCCTAATCAAAAACATTTATATATTCGATATTTTCAACTAGTTTTAACAAAGTTATCGTACGACAATGGTAACCTAAATTTACTTCTGATTACATAATCTAAATGTAAATTCACTACTCTATTTCAATAGATTTCGAAATTATAAACAATAGTTCTCATCGATATACAACCAATAAATTAGTTTTTTTCATTTATTTTCAAGACACTGTTGGTATAAAATTAATCTAGTGACTTTCAGTTGTAATATACAGTCACTCATATTGCAAATGCATTTAATAAGAGACATGTAGAAATTGGCAAAATCAAAAGAAAACAACCAAAATAGCTTGAGATTTTCAAAGTAAGAAGAAATTAAGAGTTATTTATTGAAACTACATATATATGTTTTACCACTTTGAGAGAAATATATAAAATATTATAGCTCTAGGAAATTGTGTACATAATTCGACAATGCAATGAGATAAGGAAGACTATCAGAATTATGTGATATATTTGCACAATACATTTGAACTATCCGATCATACATATACTTGTTAAGATATTATATATGAAAAATAAAAGGTTAACTAGATAAAATGAAAGGTAAATAAGAATAATCAAAAAATACACAAAAAGCAATGTGAAAACCACTGCGTATAATAAAATTTCCACTAAAATAAGGACTTGTCAGATTACAGTCTTAGTATGTATATACTTTATTTTTTTATACTTAAATGGTGTCTTAATCCTGAACCTTTATGAATTGTTTAGGTCCATGAATAAGATGGTGGTTGGAGGTAGTCAACAGGAAACTCTGGACCCGAGTTCCGTGCTACTTGGCACTCGTCAGCAAGGTGTACCTGTAATCTCACCCAGCTTCACAGTCAGAGGTGTTACCACTGAGCTATCCGGGCTGCGACCTACCTCCTGTAAGGCTGAAATGTAGTCACAATTTATTGATCACTTGGTGTTGATCAATTTCATGTGTGTCAAGTTCTTCTTAGTGAGGATCGAATGCTATCGATCAAGTTGTAATGTGGCCACTAGTCTAGGTGACTCAACATTGCGTGCACTATGTTGAGATAAGATGGTGGTTGGAGGTAATCATGAATAGTTTACTGAAATAATTAGATGTGTTTTCGTGTATACATGGAGAAATATTTACCAGGTCATCAATGTTTGGTCATTAATATCAGTCAACAATTTGTTCACCAAAAAACATTATTTCAGATATTAAGATTTCTACTTTGGAAAATACATTGTTTTATCAAAGTAAGAATTAAAATGTGAGCCTTTTTTATTCAAGTAAAGTCCAAGGATTAGTAATAGTATCAAATAATTTATTTTATCATATTTACATCATTTTCTGATTAGTTTTATGAAATGAACTTATCAACATAGATTATTTCATCGGATAAACTAGTTAAAAACATTGGATTCTAGCTTTCCTTTATCTTAGATGTTAACGAATCATATTGTTGTTAAGTGTCAAGGTCAAATCTATCAGTAAACTAAATATTTTTTTTCTAAATTGCTTTAGATCAATATTCACTATCTGAATGATACTTGATATCTCGTTTTAAGTTTTATTCCTAATGACCTGAAAAATATTCTTTTATTTGAAATTGTGAATAAACTGCCATAGTTTTTCTTTGAAAATAATAAACTATGTAATCTATGGATAAATCGGAATAATATTGATTTCATGAGTATAAACCATTTCACTCATTAGTAACTTTCGAAGAAGAAATTGGATCGTCTAAATTTTTACATCTATATAAGGAAAAAGGTGATGAGTAATTTATTACATAGAAAGTTATGACCATTTTGATTCGGTTGAGGATTTTTTTTATCCGCCTCAGTAATTGTAACACTTTGTACTAAAGTATTTTCTTAGTTTCAAATTAAAATATAAGTTGTCCTAGGGTGTATAAAGCTAATCAGAAAGAATGCTTAGTTGGAGATTTCATGAATTGAATAAATTCGTAAGAAAGAAAAGGAAACTCAAGGTAATACAGTGGTATAAACATAACTCCCTTGTGATTATAAGTGAAAATCATCACTGAACATCTATGGTGCCTATTATTTTATTATAACAATAAACTGAAAACAATAATTATATTCTGGAGGTTAAATTATGCAATGACATACTAACCTCTATAGCTAACTGATTGTTTAAGACTAATTATTGTCAAATATGGTACTAGACTTCTTATTTTGATATCGTATTATAATTTCAACTAAGGTTTAGATAATGTAATGTTAACTGATTTGGGTTGACCTATATACGTACAGAACAAATTATCCCATTGTAGTGTTGAATAAATACACGTTAGTGTCTAAAATGGCTATATATACCTTACCTGAGATATCAGGTGTTTTAACAAAAATATTCTTTGTGATGAAGGTGTTGGCTGTTGACTTTAACATAAATATAATTACTAACATCATTTTACATGATTTTTAACTGATAATCTGTAATAAAACCTCTCTTTTATGATTTTTTAAATAGTATCAGACATTAGTTCGTTAATTCGTTAATTTTTAATTCACATAATGCTTGTAATGCAATCAACTTTCTAGTCTGTGTATCAAGTAGATGATCAATTTAATAAGTTTCGAGTGTTTATTGTTTTGATGAGCAAATAAAGTTCATTTAAAGTCATAATTTGACCACAATTAATGTCCTAACTGACTGGGAAACTATATCTGTTCAATAAGAAATGCATTTAGCAAAAATGGCTTTTGTGTACATTGTTTATGCTCCATTATCTCGTTATGTTACTTTGTCAAATTTCTTATCGTCTAATCAAAATGTGAAACCTGTGATGGATACCACTAATAAAATGAATAGTTTTACATTAACTAAAAATATCAACCATTATGTGTTAAACAAAACGTTTATTTCTAAGCCACAATTGCATACATGTTACTTTCTTTTTATTAATTATTTAGTCGGAGTTTTCTAGTTTACTCATTTTTCTCTTCTTATGGAATAATGAAGCAAAAATTAATGAGATTACCCTTTTAAAACAATATAAACTACAAAATGGATTGCTTATAAACATCTTGGAAATTTTAACTTAATTTTCATAATAAACAAGGAATGATTCAAAAAAGAAACTAACACATGATTGTAAACTTAATAGACAATACAAAAAGTTAATGTAATGCCTGAAACTAGAAAGAACACATTAAAACATAAAATTCAACCATTAATAATAAGCTTTTTTATTGGAAATATCAAGCTACTTATGCTTTCAAAATACTTAACATCTAATTCACCTGTAGTATTGCATTTGATATTTTATTACTTGACAATGTTTGTGCAATTTTGTTTTACTTATCTATTTAGGTAATATTTTAGATATGGAAGAGATTGTGCTTTTTAACAAACTTGTCCGGCTTTAAATATCTCCTGAAAAAGATATGCTTTTAATGCATGTTATTAATGTTTGCCAAGATTTTATTTTATGTGGATCGAGTGATCTCATTGTGAAAACAAGGTTTAGTTTACTTTGATTTTGAATAGACAGATGACCTATCTACTTAAGTGATTAAAGTAGTACCAAGTTTCGTCTGGGAGGAAAAGAAAACATGAAATATCACAAAGTTCTGATAATCTCCGTCTTCTAATTACATTATCGAAATTTATAAAAGGGACTAATTGTTTTAAACATGAATTACTTATTACCAGAAATTCATAATCAGCAAAACGTTTTTTCTGGTTGGGAATACTTCACCCGTTTCACCTTTAGAGAATAAATTTACGCTGATCCATGCACAACAAAAACAATGCTTCATTGTCAATTGCTGTGACATGATAAAAGGTTATTTAGGAATTGTTTTAACTCTTTTTAAATTATTCTAGATGTTTTACATACAAATAATTATTCTGGATATCTAAGACAAATAGCGACGATAATTATTAGTAAATAAAGAAGGTTGAAATAAATAACTCGAGGGATCATATAATTCTAAGTGTTCAACTACCATATATATAGCATGCAAACCAAACATACATAGAAAAACAGGTAAACAGTGTAATTCTACTACTATGGGAATGAAATCAAAGCACATGATTCCTGTATTCTATGAGTGCACCTAGTTTAATTACTAGCATTTCATCTGTGATAATGAAGCTAAGAAACACATTTTTCCATATGCCTTTTACAACCAATTTATCTATATGATAAAACTATTCGGCATCAAGAGTTCGTTGAAATGTCTGGGAATTCGGTAAAATATTTATTGTACATCAGTTATCGATTGAATTCTGATTATCCTTGATAAAAAATACCTTTCGAAACCTATCAGTATTACTTCTTGCATAGGTTCCTTTATATTCATTCTACCAGTTTACATAATGAGCTATATATATAGCACAACAGAAATCTGTCGTTTTCACGATATACCGAATAGCTATCAAACAACAAGTAAAGAGAGTTTTAAAAACTTACAGTTTTACAATAAAAGGATGATTTAATTGCATTAGTATTGACTTTTCGTTCTTGACATGTTCTACCTGTTTCAGTCGTACCAATTCCTCGATTATCAACACTTTCAATGCATAGTATTGTTGTGAACATTTATCATGAACCACAATTACACGACCAAAGGTTCCTGTGCCTATAAAAGATATAAAAAAGTTCAAATTCATCTCTAGATCCTTCTGACGTGATAAGTTGACGTTTGCATTAATGAATTAGGTTTATATGTATCGTATATGTCTACTTTACCATTTTGGCTTTCAGTGAGTCTTAACATAATGAACTCTTTTAAATAATTAAGCTTAGTTTATTGTTTAAAGATTCGTGCTGAAAACAACCCCGATTAATAACTGGTAATTTTACAGATATTTTTAACTGGGAACACTACGTTATTTAGCCATTTGTCTCACTCAGTTCATTTACAGATCTTTTTCATTTCAGCAGTAAATTTGTCAATATAATGGCAGATGAACAAAGAGTCATGTAGATAAGCTAACTCGAGAGTGAATACACTAAGTGTTTCAATAACCAGCTACATTAAACACTACATTCCATTCTACAGCATTCAGCAATACCATCTTAAATGTAAACTGTTGCATGTATTTTATCTTGAATGCCAGTAGGCCTTGTTTTACGACTGTTTCTATCACTGACAAGTACGAACGTCAGGAAGATTAATGTTTAAAAACAATCGTGACATTTTTTCTGTATGTTATAAAAAGATAGTCCCTTGTATGCATTCCAATGATCAGATATTTTCATTCTACGTAACCCCTTCTCTTTCTAGTTATAAACATTTCAGAAAAGTTATGGTACCAAAAGACGATAGATCTTAAGTATCATTTAGTGACAAATATATGAACAAGGTCATGAAAATCCATAAGTCATTATCTATTCAATTTAGTATAAATATGATTTTTTCCTATGAAGCAATCACATTAATCAGAGATTTATAGATGTTACTGAAATAACGACTATTTATGTTGCACAGATAAGAACGGTATAGTGTGATCGCTTTAAGATGTTAATAGTGAAATATCTGAAATGAAAAATACGATTAGTGTAACTTAAATTGAAACCAGTTATATATATATATATATATATATATATATATATATATATATATATATATATATATATATATAACAATAATATCATAAATTGACGATAATGAAAATCTAAGCTATTTTCAGGACATTTTTAAAGGTTTTTCTTCAAACCCTATAATTAATAGATTGTAAATTCACTTCCTGGAAAAGTTAGTAATGGTTAATACAGAAACATCTTAAAAAGTATCAGTGACGGTTTAATGGATCCCATGTGAACTAGAAATACTGTCTGATTATTTAATATTATCTTGAGATTTAATTTTGCATCTGATGTGTTACCGACTAACTAATATCTTTAGAGGAAATATTGAGTTACTTCATTAAAATGAATCAAAACCAGTTATAATAATTTTATGCTAAATTGTAAAACCCATTATGTAATTATTATAGAACCATGATGGAAGAATACTTATTCGATTAACATATATTTCTAATGGATATTTAAAACAATATAAATTCTAATATTTATTGTGGTATCAAGGGTAATAAACTTCAAAATTATTTGTTCTCAATGGTAAATTTTAAGAATCACACTGGTCTATTAAGAATAATGTAAAATTGAACAAAATTACAATCATTGTGTATTAGCTTCATTTACTATCCCAAAGGTTAAATGGTAGAATAATGACAATACATCAAAAAGTTTGTACACGATATACAACATAATGTAGTCATAACACAATATGATTTAATGACCGTTGTGTTTGTTCTACACTATGTTATGCACTTTTTTCTTTATATAAAACTGTGAGTCGGATTAGTTCAGTGGTTTACAAATATGAACGTTATCTTCCATTAACTTGAATTATAATTTACTTTAAGATAGAATCAATAAATGTATACAAGTCTATATGTAGCTGAGTGGATAACGCGATAGCGTTTAAAGCGAATGGTACTGGGTTCGAGTCCCAGAGTGAACATCAACTCTGAGATGCAGGCACATCCAGCTGACGAGCCCCAAATAAGACGAAATGCGCGTCCTAGATTCCACTGCTAGCCACTATCCATCATTGCTTACGATATAGCTTGTGAATTAAGGTAATATCGAGGCATACGCACAGTATGCACATATGTCAATAACAGACTGATCACTTGCAGTCTTAAACCTCAATGGGAAGATACAAGCCAAACAGTACCAAGTGAATATATGTAGTAGAGTTAAGCAACTTTTAATTCCTAATGAATAATTTTTAATATGTGTAAAACACTATCTTTTAGATGTCATTTAAACGAAATATTCTTTGATAAACTCCTTACGATAATGATAATTGAAATATCAAACGATCATAAAATAACAAACTTCATTAAAGACTATTTATAACTTTGAACTTCATATTATTCTAATTGTAGTCCTTTCAATTATTCAGTTTACATACATCGTATTAATATAGTTACTTTAGAAACTTTTGAAATGTGATTAATAAACTATCAAAATTTCGTTTTTTCACATTTGTGAAAATACTTGAAATCTGATTTATTTACATAAAACAAAATAGTTCTCAGTTTTTCTTTTATTTTCTATGGTAACATAATTATTATTGTACTACATCACATTGATTTTTTTTTAAATTTACGTTTATTTATATCACCATATGATTGTTCTTCTCTTTAATAGTTCATTATTATATATTAATGGGTAATTAGGTTTGAAATATGTTGTTCATAGCTAACATTAACTTATTTTCATTTATTTCATTATTTAACCATTTGTAATTTTTTCATTACCTCATTAACCGATAACAATTGCTATATCATTTACATTTTTAAAAAAAAACATTTTATTTAGTTTTATCAATTTTATTTAGATCTTTACTACTGATATATCTTGTTGTTGTTTGAATGCTACATGTTATGTCTGATCGTTGCTGACTGTTGTATTGGAAACTCTTATCACTTATAGTTGAAACATGGGACCTATACAACTATACCATGATAACAAGTGTTCTTATTAATAACTCCCAAAAACAAGAACAAAACAAACAAACAAAAAGAAAGTTCTTAAAGAGGAAGAATGTATTTGTTTAAATCGTAGCGAAAGAATTTGAATTAAATCCAACGTTTTGTCTGGCAATCTGGTTCATGCTTTTTCAAATTCTTTCGCTGAGATTTTAACAAATACATTCTTCCTCTTTAATGACTCACATTAACTCGGCGCCCAAATATTGTGAAACTATTCGTTCAGATTTAGACGAATGTTCTTATTTAAAAAGAAAGTTCATTTCTATAAATATGTTAAACATCAGTCGTTTTTTTAATAATTTTAATTTTGAATGATTACATAATGTAAACAATTAATAAAATCTTGGTAAAATATAATGGATTCATGTCTATTTTATTGCTATTTTTATTATACTTATCAAGTTCAATTGTTCAATTGTTTTATTATTTTTCATTTTTTAATGAATGTTTACGAAATAATATTTATCGTAGGTTTAATGGAAACTTCTTTGAAAAAAAAATAATAATAACATAATTTAAGAAAACAGAAAAGTGATTTATTGATTTTTGATAGTTGATTGATTACAGGTATATTTCCAATATCATACTTTAAATTAATCAATCATTTTTTCTTCAAATATAATCTGATATTTAAAATTGAAAGATTTTTCATATTTGATTACTTATTCAATTAGTCAATTACTCAATGTTTGATAGATATAAACTATTGACCATTCATCAAAATATTTTATTAGTTCCTTCCTTTTCTATTTTTGTTTTATATATTATGCAATGTAGCAACTATTTGATTTTTCAATAAGTAGTTTGATTATTATTAATAATCCTCTTGCTTTCAATTACTGTATGTTAATTTATGATCGATATGTCATTATATAATTATAAAGTATTGTATCTACTCGATGAATATTATTTCGACAATGTAATAAGAAGACGAAGATTATCATAATTATGTGATATATTAGGGCAATACATTTAGAACAATGTGATCACACATATACTTGTTAAGAGCATTTATATAAAAAAAGAAAAGGTCAATTAGACTGGAAACGAGGTAAGAGGAGATAAGAATAATGATAAGAGTAATAATAATAAAAATGTGAACACAATTTGTAACCTAATTACTCTGGATAATAAGTCAATATTACCGGGTTAGGTTTAAGGTAAGAACAAACTGTTCTGGAACACACAAAGGGGGTTTGAATTTTCGTATGGCTAAGGCTTCAATAAACCTTAGTATACGTCATTTCACACTTCTATACAACACCACAAAAGCTGAGTTTAGATTAATCTTGTGACCTATTTCAATTATATGTTTAGCAATAGAGGATGATGGATGTTCATCCTCTGCTCTTATTGGGTCACCTGATTGTATTTGACCGAATGTCACTTTGTAGATATGTATTTATATTGTTTATTCACAGAACTTCATAGGGTTTCATTTAAAGGGAATTTCACAGGTTGAAATCATGAGTCAGTTGAAGCTAGACAACCATTGAAAACCTGGAAGCACTGGACGGCCGTTTCGTCCTGGCATGGGACTCCTCAGCAGTGCGCATCCACGACCCTGCACCACGCAGGGCTCGAACCCAGGACCTACTGGCTTCGCGGGAATTATTAAAAGAGTTAGACTGATTTAATGAAATCTTATCATAACAAAATAAAAAGTCTATTTCATAAATTAAAGATTTTGTTTTAAATCATAAGAAATGCATGATAGTTTTTTTTATTAAGTGAACTATATCAAACTTCATTTAAACATTTATTTCAACCTAATGGGCTTCATAATGAAGCATCACCTGACATTTAAATAATTTGTGCTTCAATTGTTGTTTTTTTTCTAAGTAAATGGATGAATTATTTGTTGAATGAAGGAAATAGATGTATGTTTATACACTTTCATATTGTTATATCAAAGCATGAGATTATTATAATATCTAGTTTTACTTAAATCACATTTGTATTTATTCACAACATTTTAGGTATCTAAGTTAAAATATTATTTAATTAAAACCACGTGTTGTACAAATGAAATGAACTTTATAAGTGAAGATTCTATTTTCTTTTAAACACA